CGTGAGGTTCAACCCATCCCTTCCCCCTCCGCACACACAGAGCAGGTGGTTGATTCAACCCATCAATCAACCAACCCAGGGAGATACAAATCCAGACTCCAACACGCGCCCAAAGCAAATCAACAACCCGGTTTCCAGGCTGGAAACATCTTCGTTTTCCTAAGAAAGCCTCCCGCTCCTCCTAATTCCTCGGGATTGCATTTGCAGCCTTTTCTCTGCTGTGGGAAATAAGCTGTTCCATTTTAATTGGGAAGAATCTGCAGAAAGAACCGGTTTAAATGCATTTTGGGCCCACCCAGAGCAAAGCCCAAAGACTGGAAGGAGATTAAAATTGCAGCATTGCCCCTTCAAATCGGGGGAAAAAAATATCATTTCCGGATGCACAGTGATGGGATATTGTTGGTTTTTATTTTTTTTCCTCTCTCAGAGGAAAGGTTTCAGCTTGTTGCTTCCCTCCCCTCGTTTTAATTGTGGTGTAATCACCACATTTTTCTAAAATTTGAAAAGCAGCAGCGCTGGAAAAAAAAAGAAAAAATCAAAATATTCCGTGTGATGAAACGATTCCGACTGAACTGCTGCTACTGTTTCAGAATAATTTATAAAACCAGCACCGCCCCCCCCAAAAAAAATCCTATAAGTGGCTTTTGATCAAATGACTGGAAAACTGCTTCTCTGAGATCCACTGGAGCCAAATCTCCATTTTCCAGCATAATCAGCTCTTTGACCAAACGTCATTCCAAGTGCTGGAGTGGCCCCTCTGCTCCTTATCAAGGCGTTAAGAGGGAACGTGCCCAGCTGGGCGTGCTCTTAATGGGGCAATTTGCTGCTCGTTTCCCATTATCAGATGGAGCGGGAGACAAACTTCTCCCCGTTAACGGGAACCCCGCGGGGACAATGGATTTCCACGGGGTTTATTCCCCCCACCAGCCCCTGGCAATGGATTTCCGCGGGTTTTATTCCCCCCACCAGCCCCCGGGCAATGGATTTCCACGGGTTTTATTCCCTGAATGTTCCTTTGCCTCCTGTTGTTCCAGGAAATCTTTCTGAGCTCCCATTGCCCGTGTTTATGTTCTCAGACTGGAGTGGTGGAAAGGGTTGGGGCATCAAGGCTGAAGGTCCCAACCTCATCCTTGCAGCATCCAAGACTTTCCATGCAATTGGCTCCTTCCTTCCTCCAAGACTTTCCACAAAATCATCTCCTTCCTTCCTTCAAGACTTTCCAGGCAATCAGCTCCTTCCTCCAAGACTTCCCACGAAATCATCTCTTTCCTCCAAGACTTTCCACGT